GTTCTTCACTTCTATTGTCTGCAATTTTATCACATGAGCTGCAGCTCTTTCACATGGTGGCGTGTTGGCATAGTTACCTAAGAGGTTCTGCGTCTAACACCGGAGGTGCGGTGTTTGATTCCGCTGGAGGACAATCGTTGTCTTATTCACGAATTCTTTTTTTCTAAGGAATTTACTACACTTTGTTTCAGACCGGGATTGCTCTGTCGGTAGAGCGTTGAACTCAAAACCGATAGCTCCCAAGTTCAAGGCCCGCTCGGGGTCACTCGCCCTTCTTTTTTCCGAGGTCGGTAAATGAGCAGTACCACTCTTTGGAAAGAAAACAGTTGTCTACGTGCTACGTTTGCCACAGGATTGCAGATTCTATCTTTGGAAACCAGTTACTCCTGACAGATGGAATAGAAATGGCGATCAGCCCCCCATAATAAATTTTTTGAAATATTGGCACCAAAATGGCTAAACATGAAAGTGAAGAACCGATGTCTAAACCAACATTCCACGAAAAGCTTTTCTTTTGCTTCCTTTCATATGTTACAGCCACGATATCGCTATATTCCCAGACCTACGGTGCAATATGGGGTTTATGACATCATCTCAATAGAAATACGCTCATGAAAATATTGCGTCTTGTACTTAAGTAACCATGTTTTCTAAATTGGCCGAAGTTATTTCAGTGTATGTCGGTCGGCCACCACAATCATATTCGCAGCTACGTCGGTGGAACGGTAGACTCACAGGCATGAAAAATATCGCGTCCCAATTTCAGTCGAATTACTTGCATTTCATTCTTCTGATTTAGATGAATGAGCATCTCTCTACTGAAAGAGAGCATGAGACTGTTTGCTGTAATTTTCGCTAAGCTGTCAAAGTTTCCTTCAAGAAAGTGCGGTCTCTATCTGATGGCATCGTAATGGAGATTAGCTCCACACCATAAGGTTTGGGCACAAAACTATATTTAAAATATCGTTCATCATCGAAGTGTACGGGGATCATCATTTCATCAGGGGTAATAAAGTTTCTTTTTCTCTTCATTAATGACTGGATTTACTATTTCACTCTTCTAGCAGAGGAAATTATCTACTTTCTAATGGGGTTACAATCAGATTTGTTAAGCTTTCGCAGTTTCCGGTAATTGTCTCTTAGTTTTTGAAGTTTCGAGAACAGGAAAAAGCCGGAAAGAGACAGTAAAGCCGGATAATAAATGGGCAGTTTTCTTTTTCTGTCTTCTCTGATAATCTAAACCGGAATATAGTGAATGGCGTAAGTTAATTGAGTGCAATTACTTGAAGTTCTTTTAGTTTCAGAGAGTAGTGCAAATGGCGGATGGTCTTTTCTTTCTTCCGCTCTTTTGCCTCAGAAGCAAAACGTTGCTTTTCAGAATGGTTTGTTACTCGAGAAATATTGGTACCAGTTTAGCTAACGGATCATTCGCTAGCACATGCCATCTATTGATATCAGTATCACCGCGCTGTTGTTGGATTTTCCGGGCGTCTTCGTTACTCTTCATCTGGTCGTGGCATTTCTGCGAGCAAGATGCTTGCATAAGCAGTCGATTATCAGCCATTCGTGAAGGGCTTCAAAACCAATTCAGCTCTGATTTCGTAACCAATCTCTTGATTATTAGCATTTTGCTTCAGAGGGAGTCTTAAGGTTCCTGCGGCGATCATTCTACTGGATGCCACGTGATCAGTGATATTTACTGGGCTCAGCAAGAAGGTTGAGAGAGAGAGAAAGAAAACTGTTTTATATGGTTTCTTTCGTTGTGCTTTCACTGGACTAAAATCGTCAACCATTTACTATTGTCGTCTTTTCGTCTTGTAATGGAGAACAAAGCTTAAACTGTCGAACCGCCACCATTGATTTCAAGCATGTCTGCGTATTTCCAAGATCTGGTTTGTT